CCCGCCATTATAGTGGAAGACACGAATGGCGTCGCTCACGGTCACACCATTATCGAAGCGGAAAATGCCGGGGCCGCTGCCATTCACCCTATACAGAGGGACGCCGCTCAAGATGACAGTTCTAGCATCACCAGCGATGCCAAACCTGCGGAGATCAAGGGACCAGCAAAGTCTGGAAGTATGCTTGGACGCATCAATACCCTAATCTCAACGGATATCGATAACATTATCGAAGCGAGGTGAGAAGAGACCTCGCCGCATGCCGTCGGATCTGCTACTGATACCTGTGTACTCTGCTTTCAGGGACTTGGCAATGCTTTGCGTATACGCCCCCTTGCAGCTCATCCTCGCCGTCGTCTTCCTTTACAACATTCTCAGCTGGTCTTCACTTATTGGTATGCTCATTCTGGTGTTGACGTTGCCTATACCCGGTCTCCTCGCCAGACTATTAAACAATGTGCAAGGCCAGCTGATGGCTGCCACGGACGCAAGAGTAGGAGAGATCACCGAGGCTATGGGTGCAGTCAGGATGTTGAAGATGTTCGGCTGGGAAGTCAAGTCGAAAGAGCGCATCAACGAGAAGAGGGAAAAGGAACTGAAGATCTCCAGGAAGAAGCAGATCATTTCGCAGGTGAGTTCAGCCTGTGAGATTCCGGAATACCCTCATTGAAGCGCTGTTGATGCCGTCCCCGCCGAATAGCTTGTGGACACGTCTAATTACATCCTGCCTGTCATCACCACTGTGGTCACCTTCATGCTGTATACTGTGGTGCAGAAACGAGCCTTGACGGCAGGAAAGGTTTTCAGTTCCATCGCCGTGTTCGAGTTGATCCGGGAGCAGCTTCACCAAGTTACCTGGTTTGTGACTTGTGTCATTCAGGGTAAAGTATCTATCGAGCGTGTCAACGACTTCCTCAACAAGACCGAGCTACTCGAGTCTTTGGAGAAACCTAGGTTGCCGTATCAGCCCACGGAAATCGGTACCAACAAAGAGATTGTTGTCCGTCAAGGCCTTTTCAAGTGGCAACGTCCTGATAGTACCAGCAAGAGGCAATTCCAGCTGAAGATCGGTGACCTGCGTTTCCCTAGGGGAAAGATATCGGTCATTGCTGGACCCACCGGATGCGGCAAGACAAGTCTGCTTCTCGGTCTTTTGGGGGAAATGATTTTCGAACCGCTCGCAGACGATGGATACTTCGTACTGCCCCGTTCAGGAGGAATCGCATTAGCCACCCAGGACCCTTGGGTTTCTGCCGGCTCCATTCGCTCAAACATCGTATTCGGGTCTCCCTTCGATCTCGACCGGTACAATGCGGTACTCAAAGCGTGTGCACTGGAAACGGATATCAAGTTGATGCCTGACGGTGATATGACCGAAGTAGGCGAAGCTGGACGAACTCTTAGTGGAGTAAGCGAGTTCCCTTTGTCGCATGCTTTCGGGGCACTAACGGGAACATTCTCTCCACCTGTATAGGGCCAGAAGGCTAGACTTTCGCTTGCACGATGTGTGTACTCCAGTCAGGAAATCATTCTCATGGATGACGTTCTCAGCGCCCTCGATACCCATACCTCGAAACACATTGTCGACACTCTGTTCAACGGCAGTCTCGTGAAAGGTCGTACCGTCGTTCTTGTGACCCACCACATTCAGTTGCTGAGGCAAGTTGCGTCTTTCATCGTCCATCTATCGACCGACGGTACCATTGCCAGCCAAGGCGATCTCGAATCCGCTCTACTCCATGATCCGGAGCTCAAACACGAGCTTGAAAAAGACGAGAAGGAATTAGAGAAAGAGGATCCAACTGAGGAGGAGGATGACGAACTCGAGGACAAGGACACGAAACCTGTGACCAAGCTCGTAGTAGAGGAAGAAAAGGCAGTCGGACGAATACAGTTCAAGACTCTCTCAATCTTCCTGCAAGCTTTGGGGGGTGTAACATTCTGGCTGCTATGGCCGCTGGGATGTATGCTTGGCGAGCTTGTTCAAGCATCGGCGCCCTTGATCCTTGGAAGCTGGGCAAGTGCTTACAATGCCGCTAAAGATCCTAGAGATGTTTCCGTCGGTTACTGGCTTGGTCTATACACGCTCCTCGTGGTTGGCCAATGTATCCTCTATAATATCACAAATGTCTCCTTCATCTTCGCCGGTATCAAAGCCTCTAGGACCATGCACGAACGACTGGTCAAGTATATCTTCGGCACAAACCTTCGCTTCTATGATGCTACTCCTGTCGGACGGTATGTATTTGCCTACTGAGATTGTTGGGCACATCAGACGGCAAGCTAATTTACACTATCTGTATTCACAGAATCGTGTCAAGGTTCACCAAGGACATCAAAACGATCGATGGCAGTTTCCAGAGGCTCTTTGTGGCTCTTATTGAGTTGACGATCAGTCTTCTCTTGCGCTTCTGCTACCTGGTCTACTTTGTTCCGAAATTCAGTATCGTCGCCATCGTTCTCGGATTTATCGGTGCGATGCTCGGCAACGCCTATATTCACTGTCAGATTTGCGTCAAGCGCGAAATGTCCAACTCGAAAAGTCCTATCTATACTCAGCTAAACAGCGCCATCGCTGGCGTGATTTCAATCCGGGCGTATGGCGTACAGACCGCTTTCCGGACCGATACACAAGGAAAGCTGGACAAGTATACGAGGACGGCCACCGCTTTCTACAACCTGAATCGATGGGTTTCCTTCCGAATCGACGTTCTGGGCGGTATCCTGGCGTCTGGACTGGCGGCGTACCTGGTTTATGCTCATCATAATATGGATCCAGCCATCGTCGGTTTCTCGCTCACAATTGCGGTTTCCGTCTCGCAAATCATCCTATATTGGGTGCGGATCTCCAACGAGTTCGAGGTGTCCGCTAACAGTATCGAGCGATTACAAGATTACTGCACGATCGATCAAGAACCGGCACATATTCGTGAAAAGGAACCCCCTGCCGCATGGCCTACTAGTGGTGAAGTCGTTTTGCAACACCTTTCGGCTCGATACTCGGAAGACGGCCCCACGGTACTCGATGACATCTCACTGTCGGTCCCATCTGGCAGCAGGATTGGTATCGTCGGAAGAACTGGTGAGTGATCTCTTCCAACCCTTGCAGCAAATTATGTACTGATCAGCATACGCCAACAGGTTCTGGCAAGTCGACCACTGCCTTGGCTCTTTTACGCCTCATCCCCACCACCGGTAGTGTCATCATCGATGGGGTTGATACCAAAAACATCAATCTGGACGATCTCAGATCACGACTAGCATTAGTGATGCAGGATCCAACATTGCTTTCTGGCTCTTTGAGATTCAACCTGGACCCATACGACATGTATGAAGACCACGAGCTCAATGCGGCTATGTCGGCGTCTGGCCTTTCAGCTACTCGACAGAGCAAGGACGGGGTATCAACGCCAATGGCTTTGACTCTAGACACGGCGATTGCTAGCGGGTAAGGCGGTCTACTTGACCCCCGTTGTGATTTATCCTCGCTGACAGAAGCTCTTTTCCATCGTACTTGCCCTTTGTCATTTTTAGTGGAAGTAATCTGAGTCAGGGGCAGCGACAACTGGTAGCACTTGCTAGAGCACTAGTCCGACAGACTAAAGTGCTCATCATGGATGAAGCCACGGCATCGGTAAGTGCCTTTACCCGCTTAAGATGCAGGGCCCGGGTTTCTAAACACGATTGTTCTTCAGGTCGATTTCGAGACGGATACTCTGGTCCAGCAAGCTATCAAGAAGTTGGAGGGTGTCACGATTTTGACAATTGCGCACCGTTTGGTAAGCGGCCCAGGCTAAAGTCGTCTATCTCATTCCACGGTTGGCCTAATCGTCGTTGCCCTTTTTCAACCCAGGACACCATCATCGAGTATGACAAAATCCTCGTTCTTGACGCGGGAAAGAAAATGGAATACGACTCTCCTGGCAACTTGCTCAAGAATCCCGACAGCTTTTTCCGACGGCTAGTCGAAAATTCGGGTCACAAGGAACTCTTGTTTTCGCTGGCATCTGATACCAAGTCGCATTAATGAACCATTGTACACGCTTTTTCAAAGCAGCAGCTATAGATTTTATGTTATCGAGTGATCATAGTATCACAGCTTGAGTCCTCTTGTGCCAGCTGTTGTGGCTTGTGGACTCGTACCTTTTTAGCAGTCTTCTCGTCAAGGGAGAGGATGAAGTCCCGATCACCGATCACGAGGGATGTTACGCCGCTACTCCATATCTACCCTGGTATACCCTGATACTTGTCAGCTCCCCTGTCGATCCAGCGTGGTGCCATACGTGGACTGTGGCGCTGACATTATCCGTTCCATATCGGCTCACGGCTCACATGCTGTCAGAGTTGGTGTTTGGTGAATACTGTCGGGGTTGCCACCGATCAGCTTGGAAATGTCAAAAATAGTGATATGATGTGATGAAAGCACGTTCCGGTACGTTCTGATAGTTAAAACTCTTGGATAAGTTTGCGTTCGGGCCATCCGCCAAGTCGTTGGAACATAGGTTGCAAGGGTTCCGACGTTCTCTTGCGAGCTGTCCAGAGCGTTTATGTCTTTGGTGATACTTTTTCCGACACCGTCAAGTGGGAAGATTGGAGCGACGTGATTCAAATGTTTATGCGGCGATTCGAAACATTGCGAAGGCAAAGCTGGACGCAATCCGCTCCGCAAGCTTAGTTAGGTGTGCACCACCGCAAGAAGAAGAGGCATCGAACAACTGCTTCGGACAAAACAAACGATGGGCCTTCGTGTGCTCGACACCGGATTCTTAGTGGCGACTGAGGCGCATTGAGTGCACGGATCAAAGGTGGGCAATTGGATTTGTTGACAACTTGATTAGACCTATTCATGCCAGTATTACAGTTCTGATCCGGCAGACTTAGCGAGTTGAGAACTCCGAAAAAATCGCTGAGAGCTCTCCTCGAGTTCTCTGGTCTACAGAAAAGGGTTTCCCCAACTCTTGTAAGCTTAACACTGCTCCGCCGAGGGAAAAACAAAAGGTTGATCAATGGCGGGATCGAACCGTCGACCTTACGCTATACTACATGATGTGTATTAGGCGTATGCTCTACCAACTAAGCTAACCGACCTGCTTGTTGAAAACGTCTATATTCAATAAATACATCATAAATTGCATCAGCTTCGTAAGGTACGTTTCGCCTTTTCTTTTCTTCTAGCATGTTTCTTTGCGAGGCGGGCAATGACACCCGACGGAAAAGACAAGGTCGACAAAGTGCGACTCTTTGCAAAGTGCAGAGGGCGCTTCGGTCGTTTGCCAAACATGACACCAGTCTAGTTTCCTCTTTTCTTCACATTTTAACATTTTTCTGAACTATGTCATTCGCAGATTGCGTGTATCATGTGGCCACTTATCACTGATTCGACTATGTCTGGGTCCCCGTCGGAAGAACTTCGTACCCGCGCAAGCATCGCTCCATCAATGCAGATGGCAATGATTTTACCTGTTTATCTACCAACCCCCAAGAAGGTAGTCCAAATGCAAAGTATCGGGAACGAGACGTCAGGCGCCAGGGGTTAAATATTGCCTCGGGTGAAACACACACTGATTCATTCAGCCGCCAAATAGCAGGCAGGGAATCAAAGCCGGATAGTACACTGGTTCAACTGATGAACAGATGTTTGGAGACGTGGTTGTTGGCTTTTTCTCATGACCATGGCCGGAAAAGCATTCACTATGGATCCAGGCGTCCGCTGTCACACACCTCACGCAAGCAACACCAAAGCCTATCCATCAAGAGAATCTTAAGTCTGGGTGCCTTCGGACAGCGACGGCAATAATCCGAGGCCCGCGACCGAGTTCATCGCCCTTGGGGCTGACTGCCTATCCAGGAAGGACCCAGTGTATTGATGCGGGATGGTCTACCTTTAGTCTTCGTCGATCTGCCAATTCAGCCGCCATTTCCAGATCAGACGACAACATTAGGGTGTGCAGACGCCATCGTCTTGATGATTGACAGACATCATCATGCTCCATGTGGTTGATATCATCCCGTTGTAAGATGCATAATGACACTATCTGTTACACTCTTTTGACCACATCTGTAAAAGCGATTTCCTATACTCTCAGTATACAATACCTCTCCGCTAGAATCTACTCGAAACGCCTTCTCGCAGGCGAGCGACTTCTAGACGCCTTGTCTCGGCGTTCGCTTCTCTCCTTATCCCTACTACCTCGCTCCTTTTCAACGTCCCCGTCTCTGCTGTCACGATCCCTATGTCGCTCACGGTCTTTGCGGTCGTCGTGTCTGCTGGATCTGAGACTCCGAAAGAAGAAGGTCAGTTCGATGTGACCTATTAGCGATTCTTGACAGTCACACACCTCTCGCGACTTCGGTCACGGTATCTATCACTTCTATCCCTGGATCGGTCCCGTCGTCGTTCACTAAAAGACGATCATTAATGAATAGAGAATTTCACCATTCTCGCAGGGCAAACGTACCGGTCATCGTCTCTGCTTCGCTCGTGTCGAGAATCCTGCATCAACTCCATAGCTTCCCGCCTCTTCTTATCACCATGTCCTGGAATCGCGGAATCCGCCTCTCTATCCAGATCAACTGGCAGACCGATTTGCCCGGTAGGCGTCATCGGTCCATCAAAAGACGCCGACGGCGGAGCCATCAAGCCGTTATGCGGAGCTGGCGCGCCACCGAATCGAGGTGCAGAGGGCGCAAGAGGTGCGCCCGTCATGGGGCCACGAGGTGCCGGAGGCACAGGAGGACCTGTTGGTCGAGGGCCGTTCATGCCCATTCGTGCTTGACGTTGTTCATTGAACTTTTCGAGCAATTTTCTCAATTCGTGATAACCCAAATGCATCTGCGAAGGCAAGGAAGCGTCAACATACATTGCGCCACGTCAAGGTCTATTGAAGGTTGCACTTACTTTACCACCAAAGTGGTCAGCCAATCGTCGATCCGAGTCCAATATTGACAGATAAGCACCACAGGTTTCACAGACACGCAGTTTTTGATGACCTGAAGCACCGCCAGTTTCGGAAAGTCGTTGGAGTTCTCGCTACAGAGCCCATTGTCATTGATTAAAATCGCTGCTGACTTTCGAACCTTAAAGGAAAGACCTACCTCTTTCTCCGACTTTTCACTCTTCAACGCCTCTACCGCTTCCAATTTGGCCATGGACTCTTCAACCTTGCCAGCCTCGCCTGCACATCATCGAAAACACGATGAGCGGAGTGTCCATAAGGTGGCGAGAATGCGGAACATACCAAGTTGTTCAATCTCTTCCGTTTGTCCTTGAATAGCCAACTCGATTTCACCAACTTCTTTCATCTACGAAGGACGAGAGAGTAAGACACGAGAACGACAAATCGTGTGTGGCCGACTTACCAGATCAACCGTTCTCCTATTCTCCTCTGGAGTCTTTTCCAACCTCTTCTGACTCAGTCGAATCTTTCGGTCACAGTCGTCAACGAAGGCATAGATGTTGTTCTGGTATTCCTGTTCAAACGCAGCGAATCGAGGATCCGACGGATTCTGAGCCTTTGCTTCCTGGAACTTTTTCGCAATCGCTTCCGAGTGGAGCTTGGGGCAAGGTCCCATGTCCATTTTCTGATATCACACGGACAGACATTATCAGGCAAGGCCAAGGCGGGTATAAAGGGACGGTCATACCGTGTTACCAAAGATCTCGTGAGGACAAGTTCCGCAAAGGTAGTTTTTGCAAACGCGAGGATCCCACCAGTCGACGTTGATTTGCGTGATTCCCATCGCCTCCGGTCCCATCATTTGCTGCAGGACAGTAAGGATCAGTGGTTAGCCGAAACGTTCATATCACACAGATGCGCCGAAACTGGTCAAAACTCACTTCTAGCAGCTTTCGCTGATGCTCTGCCATTTTACCCATCTTGACAGTTGTCTTTGTTCGTTTCGAATAGCCGTCAACTCCAATACGCTCGATTTCAAGTATGATAGTGATAACAAACTACGCAGGTGGCTGGCGGGTCTTGTTGCAGAAGCATTTACCAGTATATCGTTGACACCTAACATCCTTGAACCTCAGACATACACAACCAACAACCAAGCCAAAGTCCGATCAGCAGCGGAGACGCATGTCCGCTTTCAGGCGCCAGAGATATCTGAGACATGCTCGTTGCTGATATCATCTGTAGTATCGTTCCTTTCTGGCAATCTGTTCGGTTCTCCTTGCAATTACAGTCAAAACAGCAATGTAGACTCGCTCAGGCAGTGTCTTTGTTCACCATCAAAGAGACGAAAGATGAATGGCTCTCACGCCCACAGGCTGACTCCTCAATCGACACCGCGGAAAGCAACATCCCGCGCTCGCTCCCGTGCAACTTCCTCTTCGTCAGTCGTAACTTCAGCTACGACTAGTCTACATTCAACGCCCATAAAGGTTCCAGTCATATCATCGGCTTCAAAACCACAGATATCCGACGATTATGCGAATGCAAATCTCTATTCTGGGGACGGAGAGGCTGTGCCACAATTGCAGAGGACAGTATCAGATTTAGCACTAGCTGCGGATGCCTCGCCAGTCACCTCCAGCTCAAGTTCTCCACCAACAGAGTCTTTCCATCGATATCACACCGAAGATACCGAGGCAGATTTTTCATTCCCGGATCTCGAAAAGCAGAGTCTTCTCGGAAGCATACCGCAGCGAAAACCACTTGGTTCGCGCAGATCCACAATATCGGCCTCTGCTGCCACGACATCGTTGAACCTGGAAATCGCCGATCCAGTAACTGTGTGTTCCGTGCGCAAGGGAGCGGCAGACCTTCTCTCCCAAAGACAAAGCCTCGAGCGAAAAGCGGGAACCGAACCGGCGAATGATACGGTAGCAGTTCCCAGTAGTCGCAAGGGGATCAGCCCGGCTTCCCTGCAGAGACGGCGCAAGGAAGAAGCTGTGACTGGATCGCGGCGGCAGGAGGAGAAAGCCCCTGCTGTCAAAAACGATGAAACAGCACATACAGACGTCGTAGAGTCAAAATCAGCCTTGGAAAAGAAAGGTGAGTATATACCTACTGTGTCCAGGAGGTCCGGGGTTGACCTTGAACATTTCAGTACAGGACAAGGAATGGTTTACACCGTCATCGTACCCAGAACGACGCTACTTCATATTGACTAGTGCGGGAAAGCCTGTCTTCTGTTCGTGAGTAGAACCGGTAATTCCGTCACGATTGGTCGAGTAGCTCAAGACATGCATTTAGCCACACAGAGGACGAGGAAAGCCTTACCCGTATGATGGGTGTCGCGCAAGCTATCGTCTCGATATACGAAGAGGACGGCGACAAACTTCAGTATGTGGTCAAGTTTTCTTATTCTGGGGGGTCCCTATGCTGAGGAACAGGAATTTAACTGTAGATCAATAGCGCACGGACGAACCAAGATTACCTTTCTGCTCGCCGCCCCACTCTACTTATTTTGCGTCAGTGAATGGAAGGAGCCGGATTTTGTGGCGAGTGTCACAACCTATTCTCGAGACAATCCACTGTGTTCAGCTCCACTAATCTGCGCTCACTCATTAGCTTCGAAATCATCTGGACTACCTTTATTTACAAACGATATCCATCGTTACCAACAACCAACTAGTGAAAATGTTCCAGCGGCGGAGTAATTTTGATCTTCGCCGACTTCTCGATGGTAAGAGCAGAAGTCTGCTCGTAACCTTGGAATGAAAACCTGATCGCCACTTTCCAAGGCTCGGAACCGTTTCTTTACAGTCTGATCTCGCAACAACAATTCGATTTCGCTTTCTTCACATCTTCTTTGCAGCCTTTACGGATGTCACCTTTCCTTCGGGAAGCGGCTGCTTCGGCGCTAGTTCCACCCACGAAGATCTCAGTAGGTACATTGCTCCAATATGACGAGGGCGATCTGATGGAATATGCCCTTTCTTCTCTAGAATTTACTGTACGTCCTCTTGGTCGTGGACAACAAAATTGTCACGCTGCTCCGCCCACGCAAACACTCAATACATCCTACGGATCTTCACCTCTTGCTCAATGTGTTATCGTCATCTCCAGCGTTACGGGCCTCGGAAACCTGGCTGCCAATCTGTTTACCGAAATTTAATCCCGATGGATTCGTCTACGCCT